AGGCAGACTTCCCTGGGGGTAGTGTGCCCTTTTCCATCCCCTCCAGGGTTCCTCAACTCCCCTTTGCTGCAGCTGGGAGCCTGACCTCCTAGTGACCTTTTTCTTTTTATGGGGGTGGGGGGTCTGGGACACTCGAGCCACAACCCCAGACCTATTTTTGTATTTTATTCAGAGACAGGGTCCCACTGAGTTGCTTAGCGGCTCACATTGCTGAAGTTGGCTTTGAACTCCAAATCCTCCTACTCCTGTCTTAGCCTCCCCAGCTGCTGGGATCATAGGCATGCACCACCATGTCCAGCAAAATGGGGGTTTGAGAGGCTGGATGTATGGATGTTCTGAACCCAAGTCCAGCTCCTGCGAGGACCCTGTGTGTGTGTAAAAGAGATGGAGACATGCTACGAAGCCCTGAAAAGCTCCTGAGGTCTTCTCTTACACAGCAACATGGATATACTTGGCATCAAGTGTGACGTGAAAATGGGTGTGTGACTGTGTGGCAGACTATGATATGGGACCTCCTGTGACCACAGGTTAGTATATGACACCAGTGGCCACACTTTGGGATGTTCTGTAACACTGCTTGTGTGATCCTTTGATGCAATCCTATAAGAGACCCAGTGCGTTACCAGGGTGGACAACTAAATGTGTGACATTGATTATAGCATTATTGTTGTATGGCATTGTGTGGCCCTGTGACAAAACTGGGTGATTATATGAATGTGTAACGCTGGGTCCGTAAGACCATTCATGGATGTGGCCCTGAGACTGACATGGATTCTCTATGTCAGTGTGACCTCGGTTTAACCATGTGATACTACCTAAATAATGCTGGGTGTGTGCCATGACACCATGTCAGCGTGCACCTGTGATCCTCAGTGATGGGGACACTGTTGCCATGTCTTGGCTTCCTTGTCTTTCCTGGGTCTCTGCCCTAACAGCCTGCAACTCTAGAGGGAGAGCAGGGCTCTGGCGGCCTCTCTTATCCCCAGCCTGCCCCCTCGCCTGGTCCTGAGGCGCAGGCTACATGGGGGAGCTGGCGTGGGGGCAGCAAGCACAGTTCCCACGGCTGCTGCGGCCCCTCTCCCAGACCCATCACCGCCTGCTTCAGCTACACAGAATCCTGGCAACCCCAACCTCTTTGTTCTCTGTGACCGCCAAAGGCCTCCCTCAACCTGGCCTGCCCATCGCCTGGCAGCACCCCCTCCCCATTACCCCACCACAGCAGCCAGGCCTGGCCTGACCTAGTCTCTAATCACCCTTATCAGAGACTTCTGGGGCCTGATTCAGGATTCCAGACAGGGCCTTTGGACCTCTGCTCTGAGCTTGCTCTATGGTTGATCTCTGCAGGAAAAAGGAAGCAGGACAGCTTCTGTGGCTGCACTGGATAATTGTGGGCTCTGAACTGGGCTCTTTGTCAGGGTAATTCCCCTTGGCCCAAGGCTTGTTGGAGGCACAGACTTTAGTCTGGGACAGTTTCAGTTTACTAAGTAAATTTACTTCATTGATTCCAAGAAGTCATCAGTACCGGGATTATTACCCATTTTATAGATGAGAAACTGAAGTCCAAGAAATTAAGTGACTGGCCCATAAGCAAGATAGTGTCAGAGACTTAATTAGAACCCAGGCTCCTGGCTGCCTAGGGGAGGAGGAGCAGCTCCCTCCAGGAGAATGCAGAGGGGGCATGGGAGTCTGGACATGGGTTCCCCCTCATTTCTTGGTCATGGTGTCAACACTGCATTTTGTGCATGTGTGTTTGGTGTGTGTGTGTGTCTTTGCTGGATGATCTTGGCCAAATGCCCTTGCCTCTGTGTTCTCAGGAAAGAGGGACAACATAGCCAGGGGGTGTAGAAGAGAGCCCTTGCCAGCGTGTTTTGCAGAGCAACAAGATCACCTCAGTTAGTGCCAAGACCCACATCTTTCCCAGCAGGGACATGAGGCTGGTGGGCCTGGGGGACCATGGTTTGAGGGTCCAGTCTCCATTCCTAGATTCAGCCCAGCTCACATTGCCACAAAGGAGATGGTGATGGCCACGGCTTGAATGTAGTCAAGTCCATTTGCATCTGACTCCATTGTAGCCCCAGCTTCCCACCCCTCAAGGTGCCAGAGATGGATAGATGGAGGTCACTGCACAGCCCCCCCCCAGCCCCTCATTGCCCGCCCACAGCCCTAGGCTGACATGCCACTGCTGGCGACAGCCAAGGTTGGGGCAGGAACAGGCAGCCACCAGCCTGGTGATAATACAGACCTTGACCCAAACGCCCTGCAGACAGGGAATCAGTGGGGCACAGAGAGAACTTGCTGTCCCCCAAGGTCACACAGCCTCGCAGCGAGTCCTGTCCCTGGAGGCCCACACCTGCCTTGAGGGTTCTTCTTGCTGGGGAGGATAGTGGGGGCATAAGAGGGTCCCCTGAGGCTGGCCAGGCTGCCAGAGCGGACACTTTCATCTCTCTCTGCCTGTCGACCTGCCATCTCTGAGCGGCATTAAATTCCACTCCTGCTGGAGAACAAGGGCTGCCTCAGATTCCAGGCAGCAGGGCGTGAAGACAGGCGGCCCAGGGGAGGTGAGCCAGGTCCTCCAGGGCTCTAGCCTGGGTGCAAAGCCACTGGGCCGGTGGGATCTCATCTGGGGGCTCAGGTGGCCATTACCCCAGCCTCCAGTGCTCAATGAGATGCACATCTGTTTCCTGTCCCCATCTCATCCTTATGGGTGCCTTCCTCCCACTTCAGGTAGCACCGCAAGACCTTCCTGACCCCTGTTGTGTCAGGTTTCCCTGAGCCCCCCTTGCCATCCCAGGGCTGACCATCGAGGGCACCACCTTGGTAACCTATGGTCCTGTGGCTCAGTAAAGGAAGTGTTGGCAGCTCACACACAGAGGGGGTGGAAAGCCTCTGTAGGCTAAATAAACATCGTCTCCTCTTTCTGGGCCTTTTCCCCCCTGTGCATTTCTGACTCTAATTGGGGTGCTGATGACAGGTGAGAGAAACTTAGTAAATAGAGACTCCTCGGGCTGAGGCTGGGGCTCTGTGGTAGAGCACTTGGTAGCATGAGCAGGGCTCCGTGCTTGTTCCCCAGCGCCCCCAACAAGCCTCCCTTCCCAACCCCTGGAACCTCCAGGAGTGCTTGGTTAGAGACGCTGATCATATCCTGCCTCCTAGGGCGTAGAACTTATGGCTGTGGGCCAAAAATGGGGTCAATCTGTTGAGTTCACACATGCCCAACAATCTTGTGAGGAGGGCATTGATCAGTTATCCCCATTTTGTAGATGAGACAGTTGAGGCTCAGAGGTAGAGAGACCCATGCAAGGTCACTTAGCTAGGTTCCTCTGCTTTTCAAAGCTAGCCTTTAACACCTGGTTATGCTTTGGGGGTGGGCTGCAAGGACTCCCCCACCCCACCACCCCACCTGACATGCCACCTATGTCCCTGCCCTTACACTTTTCTGCATTTTCTGACTTTTGGGGTTTCCCCCTTTTCTTGTATATTGTTTTTCAAATCAGAATGCCCAATACATTTTTTTTTTTTTTGCAGTCCTGGGAATTAATTGAACCCAGGGGCACTAACTCCGAATTGCCCCCAGACACCTTCATTTTGAGACAGGGTCTCACTAACTTGCAGAGTCTGGCCTCGAATTTGTAATCCTGAGTCCCTGGGATTACAGGCATGCGGCCACCAGGCTTGGCCCCAATAAATTCTTTAAGCAAACGTTCTCTAGTCCAGAAAGGTCTGGAAACAAAGAGCACTGTGTGGCAGAAGGGTAGGAGATGAGGAAGTAGACGAGTGTGACAGGGTTTGGGTATTCTGGGGGCCCGCGGTGGGCACAGCCTGCGTCTACACAAGCTCCTGCCCTTCCACCTCCCTAGAGCCCCGCACGCTGGCTCACAGCCCCTAACCCAGCCTGCCCGGGAGCTGCAGCCCTGGGGCTGAGGTTTGGCTCTGCAGCAGTAGGATCCACAAGCAGCTGCTGGGGCCCTGGGGGAGTGGCTGCGAGGGCGAGGGCAAGTGCAGTGCCCGCTGCGCGTTGGTAAGGTGACGGAGCCCTCAGGAACAGGGACGCAGTGAAGCCATGGAAACATGACTGAGGTGTGAAGCTGGCTCAGCCACTTCCCCCAGGTGGCCACCTCCCAAGCCTGGCAGGGGGCCCAGCAAGACAAGTCCAGCCACTGGCCGTCTGACTCTGCCCTCCTGGGAGCTAGGCTAGCAGCTGGGCAGGCTTAGTGTCATCCCAGGGCCAGGCTGGGGTCAGCCTTTGGGGCTGAGTAGGGAGGACTGAGAACAGGCAGGGGTGTCCCCCAAAGTCCCCTTAACCCATTCAGTTCCTCCCCTTCTACCATTCCCTCCTTCCTTATAAATATGTGTGTATTATTTACCTTAAGCGTTTTGATAAATCATAATAGCAGAGACATCTGCTGTCAAAACTGCAAACTGCATTTGGGGCTCAGCTGGTGGACTACCAGAGCTGGAGACCAGGGGTGCAAGGGTTCTGATGGTTTGAGGGGGGTAATATGGATGCCCCCCACCTCTCCTCTAGGGCTGGACCTTGAAAGAGACCCAGGTCTCACCCTTTGGGACCCCTCTTCACCAGCTGCTGATAACAAAACCTTCCCAAGGAACCTACTCACCGCCACCCCCCAACCATGTTCCCTCCTTCCTGCCTCCCTCTGCCTCAGAATTAATGCAGCAGTGACAGCGGCTGAGAAGTCCCCCGAGCAGAGATTAACTCCTGGGGCAGTGCGGGCGGGGTTGGCCATGGGAGGCTGAGGGGGTGCTGTCGCGCAGCCCTCACAAGATTAATCGCCCTGCAGTCGGCCTCATCACGAGGGCGCTCAGGGCTCAACACCCCCATCCCCAGGAGGGGCTCTGGGTCCCGTGTCAGGAACCTGCCCTGCTCCCATGGCCCCCAGTCTAACTCGTGGGAGGAATTTGGGGGCCCAGACAGAGTTTCTTTCTCATTTTCTCTTCCCTTCCTGGTGGCCCTGAGGGACCCTAAGGAGCAAGCAGCAATCCTGTGGTTTCTTTCCCTCCCCCTGTTCCAATCTGGCTTAACAGCCCTGGGAGGGGGAGGGCCTGACCCTGGCCTGCCTGCCAACATTTTGAGGGCCCTGGTGGCCCTGGGTCTCCCATGGCTCTACTGGCCCCAAAGCAGGGCTAGGGCTGGGGGCTGCTGCAGGAAACCTTCTGGATCCAAAATGTTTATATGGGGGGGCTCAGAGAGGCGTAATGGACCTGATGGTTTTGCTGTTCAGCTAGCCCCCTCTGCCCATCCTGGGGGCCCTGGGGAGATAATAGAGAGAGGGGGTCCTGGGTAGAAATAGTGAGGGTGCTGGCTGCTACAGCCACGGGGTCCAGGGCCTGGAGACAAGCCTTTCTCAGCCACTTATCCCCTTATAAGTCTTTATGGGTTGCAGCAAGTGGGGTTGAGGTCAAGGCAGAGAGGACCTAAGGGAGGCGGAGTCTGTCTTGATGGTAAATCTGGGCCTACAGGCCTTCTGTGTACCCAGTGCCCCAGGGGCCCCCTCACAGCCCTGCTGGAACCCCACTGGGTGAACTCATCTGTTTGCTTGCTGTCTTCCCAGCTAGGAGGACTGGGGGAAGGGACCTGCCTGGCTGGCAAGCGTCAGGTGCTCAACCATGTTGAATAAGTAGATGCACCGAGGGAGGAGGCCAGCGCCTGTTGCACTGGAGAAAGAACTGTTCGGTCTGAGCTTGAGGATCTGAGGAACAGGGCCTGCCACAGGCCGGAGCTTCCAAGTGGAAGTCGAGGGGGTGCCCCAAGAAGGGTCAGAAGAAAAGAGGGTCCAGAGCCAGGCATCACTCACCAGTTATATGACCTTCTGCAAGAGGCTGCCCTCCCCCGCAGACAGTTCACTCATAGGTCAGTGATGTCACTTCTCAGAGACACAATGAGGCTGGAACAAGAGGTCCTGTGTGAAAGATCTCGTGAACTCTCTACGCTCATACTCCATGGTAAGTGAGCAAGGGATTGACTGGGTGGGAAGACCCAAGGAGCTTCCTAGAGGAGGAAGGACCATGCCACTTTCCTAGAAGGCTTGGGGACCGGTACTTCTGAGGCAGTGACACCACACTGGAGAAAGCTCAGAGGACCACAGGCCTCAATATCAAGGTCTAGGATAAGTGGGTGTATTTTATCTTGGGGACAGTGGAAGCCAATGATGGTTCTCAAACTGGACAGCTTTGGAGGGGCTAAAATTTGGAAGGAAGCCTTTGGTCAACCAGGGTTGTGGGGCAACTTCTCAATCCCACTCTGGGCCCCTGGGGCTGAGGTGGGGAGTCAGCCAGAGGCCATGGCCCAAGCCATATCTCTTTGGAGGGGAACCAAAACATTCCGGAAGTTAGGGACTAGACTTAACAGGAAATGACCTGTCTGTTTGGGGGCCTTGTCCACTGGTTATAGGATGGGGAATCCAAGTTACAGAATGGTCAGGCTGGTTGGAGGACTTCAGGACCCTTTCAATTCCTGGAGGTGGAGATGAGTGTCTAGGAGCTTGAACTAGAAGAAGAAGAAGAATATGGGCTGGGAGGCAGGGGAACTAGGATTTCCATTTTCTAGAAGTCCTTGGAATTCTCTGGTCCTTGGTTTCCTTTTTGTATAATAAGGGAGCTACATGGAAGAGGGGAAGCTGAGGAAGACCGAGAACCCAGCTGCTCCATCTCTAAGCCCCACCCCTCGCTGGCTTCATGAGCTCATGACCAAAAGCATAGCCAGCCCTTCCGCGCCCAGCTTTCCTAATCAGTGCCTGGAGTACTTTGTAGCATCAATCAGGCGCGGTTCTAGGACTCTCCTGGGGGTTCACGCCTCAGGAGGGGGCTATCATTTAGGGGTCCTTCATTCTAGCTCTTCCTCCACCCTCATGCTGGGCCACCTCTCTTTTCCTGCTCCTCCACCCACACCCCCTCACCCCTGACCTAGTGGCCAGCAGCCTCTGCTGCTGTCATCCGTTGTCATGGGAACCTTGCAGCTCTGACCTGGTGCAGAGGAGAGCTGGCCTGGAGCTCCTAGCAGGGAAGCTGATGGTAGCCAGGCAGATGGGAGCTCCTGTTTCTGCCAGTTTGGATTCCCCCTCCGGAAGGGGCCATTGGAAAGATGACCTAAATGGGGTGGGCTAGGGTGCAAGGGGTCAGGGCCTGCCAGCCCCCAGTCCCTAGGGTCCCTTTCCATTTCCAGGCCCACTCTCTCTCAACCCAGCTACAGGCTGATGGGGGGAGGGAGAGTGGTGGGGACCTTCCCATTTCCCTCACTGCTGATGGGAGCTTAGAGCCCTGAGCTCAGCTCATTCTAAAAATACCAGGGAGGCGGTGGCAGCAGCTCTCCCGACACCCTGCCTACCCCCCCCCCCAAGCAACAGACACACACACACATACACACACATGCCCAGGCGCACACTGGACCAGACTGCACCACTTAACCACACAATGCTTTGGTCTATGGAGGTTCCCAAAGTTCCTCTTCTATGTCACTTTAAGAGATCTAGGCTCCACTTTCACTTTTGACCCCAATTTGCTGTGTGCTCTTGGGGTAGTCCTTTGACTTTTCTGGTCCTTTGTTTCCTTTTTGTATAATAAAGAAGGCACAGGAAAGAGGGGAGGCTGAGGAAGATTAAGAATCCAGAATCGGGGCTGGGAATGTGGCTCAAGCCGTAGCGCGCGCCTGGCATGCGTGCGGCCCGGGTTCGATCCTCAGCACCACATACCAACAAAGATGTTGTGTCCGCTGAAAACTAAAAATAAATAAATAAACATTAAAATTAAAAAAAAAAAAAAAAGAATCCAGAATCCGGTTACCCCATCACCTTTCATTATCACAGCAGTCTGACAGCTCCTTGAGTCAGAATCTCCCTTTTCCAGATGAGCACAACGAGGCTGGAGAGAAAGGTAAGGGAGTTCAAGGGATGATAACCCAAGCCTTTGGGTTCCATGGAGGCCCTCTGGCCCAGAAGTGGCCAGTTGTATTTCTGAAACCTCTAAGTATTTGTTGAAAAGTAGATTTGTGTGGGCTGGGTTTGTGGCTCAGCGGCAGAGCGCTTGCCTAGCACGTGCGAGGCCCTGGGTTCGATCCTCAGCACCACATAAAAATAAATAAATAAAATAAAGATATTATGTCTAACTAAAAAAAAAAGAAAGAAAGAAAAGAAAAGTAGATTTGTGTCGATAGTGGGAAAGGGGCCTACTTGATGACATCTCAGTTGAGTTCTGGGTTCTGCCAGCATGACTGAGAATGTGGTGGGGAGTCCACAGTGACTTCTACCAGGGTCTGGTTGAGGCTCATCCACTCTTCCTATCTGCCAGGGGCTTTGCCCAGGCCCCGGTGAAGGTTCACAGTCCCACTTCATCAGGGAGTCTGAGGCTCACCGTCCATTTAGGCAAGGCCTGGCCAAGGCACAGAATGAATATCTGTATTGCCCAACTGCCTGGGCTGGACCAAGGCTGGGGTGCCTGTGCATTCTGCCTGTCTGCCTGGTGCTGGCTGACGTTGGGTTGAGGGTTCACCCTGTGCCGCTGGAGCTGTGGTCAAGGGGAATCTACACTGTCCATTGCCCTGGGTCTAAGCTTTTTTACTACCAGCCCTGGGCTCAGGATTTCAGTTTGGATTTCAAATCCTCTCTTCCTTCTTGGAAAGCTGTTCATTGTCTCTGCTTTAAAGGAGACCTAGCTTCATTTTAGTGACAGTGGAGGAAAGCTGGAGCACACCCAACTTCTGGTACCCTCCTGGGAGTACCAGGGAAAATCTACCATGGAAGTCACATTGGTCACTGGGAATATGGAAGTCTGGGGATCTACCACTGTGGAACCCTAGTCACTAGGTTCCTATTCTTCTTTCTACCAGCCCAAGGACATCTTGACATCTTTTTTTTTTTTTTTTAAACTAGGGATTGAACTCAGGGGTACAATATCACTAAGCTATATCCCCAGCTCCCTGCCTCCCCGCCGCCATCCCCCCCCCCACCGCCTCCTTTTTTGAGATAGGGTCTCACTAAGTAGTTTACGTTCTCACTAAATTGCTAAGGCAGGCCTCCAATTTGCAATCTTCTTGCCTCAGCCTCCCAGGTCACCTGGATTACAGTATGTGCCATCATGCCCATAGACATCTTTTTCTTTTCCCTAGACATCTTGAAAACCACAGGGCACCCTGGTTCATAGACCCAATGTCTCAAAGTTTGGATTTGGTACTGGCAAGACCAGTATGTGGACTTTCTGAAGAGGTTACTCAATCCTGCAGGACAGAGATTGGGCTTTGAGTCATACTCCCTAGTCACACCTATGAAACAGGTGTTTAATAGTATTTGTCAGGCTGGGAACGTAGCTCAGTGTACAGAAGTTGCCTAGCATGTTTGAGGCCCTGGTTCAATTACCAGCACTTAGGGGGGAAATACCTGTCTCTAGGGGTAGATTCTAGAATAGGTATAAGAAATGAACGTGATATTCCCATAAATGTCTGGCAGGGTAATCGTTATTTCTGAAGGCTGGCAGGAAAGAAGCATTCTCTGAAAGAATTCTGGAACATTTGTTTATTAATTATTATAGTGTAGGGCTGGGGATGTGGCTCAAGTGGTAGTGCGCTCGCCTGGCATGCGTGCGGCCCGGGTTCGATCCTCAGCACCACATACAAACAAAGATGTTGTATCCGCCGAAAAACTAGAAAATAAATACTTTAAAAAAAATTATTATAGTTCTGAGAACTGTGTTGGCTGCTGGATCTAGGGGCCTGAGACTCTAGATGGGGTCCCCTACTCTGAACTAGGGGCCTCCAAAAATGTTCATTAGTTTTGTGAACATATTTTCAGTCCATTAATGGATGGTCTTAGGTAAAACATTAATAAACTGCAACACATTGGTGGGGAAAATTAAATGTAAATTAGATAATTAAAAATGAAGCTGATGCCCGCTGCTTGGTTTTATTACCTCTTATGAGACCTGGGCTCGGTGGTGCAGACCTGTAATCCCAGTGACTCGGGAGGCTGAGGTGGAAGGATCCTGAGTTCAAAGCCAGCCTCAGCAAAAGCAAGGCTTTATGCAACTCAGTGAGACCCTGTCTCTAAATAAAATACAAAATAGGGCTGGGGATGTGGCTCAGTAATCAAGTGCCCCTGAGTTCAATTCCTGGTACCACTCCCTGCAAAAAAAAAACATGAGAAGTGGCCCTGGGTGGAGGATGCGTGAAGGACTTTTGGTGAGGGTGAGGGCTGCAACCGGCTGCCCACTGGAGCCCAGTTTTGTCTTTGGAAGAGGTAAACAGAGGGGATGCTCCTGTATGGGCACTGGAGAGCTGGGGGGAGAGAGTGGGGGGATCGGTGTGGGCATAAGTTCTGCCTCTTGTGGGGGTCCCTGGAATAGCACCTTTCTCTTTCTTTTTTTTTTTTTTTTTTTTTTGGTACCCAGTGGCACCTAACCTCTGAGCCACATGCCTAGCCCTTTTTATTTTATTATTTTTTAAATTGTTTTTTAGTTGTAGAAGGACACAATGCCTTACTTTGTTTATTTATTTTTATGTGGTGCTGAGGTTCGAACCCAGTGCCTCCCACGTACTAGGTAAGTGCTGTACACTGAACCACAATCCCAACCCTATTTTATTATTTTTTAAAATATTTTTTTTAGGGCTAGGGATGTAGCTCTGTTGGTAGAGTGCTTGCCTCACATGCACAAGGCCCGGGGTTTGATTCCCAGCACCACCCCCAAAATAAACAAACAAACAAATAAATAAATTTACTTGTAGATGGACACAATACCTTTATTTTATTTATTTTTATGTTCTGAGGATTGAACCCAGTGCCTCACATATGTTTGCCAAGCGCTCTACCACTGAGGTACAACTCTAAACCCCCCTTTTTATTTTTTATTTAGAGACAGGATCTCTCACTAAATTGCTTAGGACCTCACTAAATTGCTGAGCCTAGCTTAAACTTGTGATTCTCCTGCCTCAGCCTTCAGAGCTGCTGGGATTATAGATGTGTGCCCCAGTTCCTGGTTCCCAGCCCTTCTTATTTTCTGTTTTTTTTGTTTGTTTATTTGTTTGTTGTTGTTGTTTTGTTTTTTAATTTTGAGGTCAGGTCTTGCTAAGTTGCTCAAGCTGACCTCTAACTGGTGATCCCCCTGCCTTAGGTTCTAGAGTAGTATCTGGGATCACAGGTGAGTGCCACCATGCCCAGTTGCCTCTATGTTTCTTCATCTTTAAGAAGGATCATAGCAGATCCTATCTCATAGGACTGAGGTAGGAATTAGATGAGATAATGTCTAGAAAGCACCCAGCCAGGGGCATGACACATAGTAGGTATTCATTAAACAGCCAAGATTACTATTAATATTATAACCACCTTCATCCAGTTGAATCACTGAAAGCAGAAGGCTCTGAGTTTAGAACTGTGTAGACAGAGATTCCTGCAGAGGCTGTCCCTGTTAGCACGTGGGTGGGTCCTGTCTTCTCATTCTGTGGGATGAGGAAAGCAAGGTCGACATGGAGATAAGGGTCCAAGGTCACAGGTGCTGTCAGGTGGCATTCCTTTATTATTCAAAGAGGAAGAGCCCTGGGAACAGCAGTCCCCCACAAAGCTCTGCTTCCTAACCTGACTCCCTTCTCCCCCTACCCCTCCTGCCCTCTGCTGGGTGTGGATGTAGCATTCTGGAGTGAAACAGATCAAGAGTTAAGTCCCAAAGGAGAGATGTTTGTTGTTGTTTGGTACTGGGGATTGAATCCAGGTGTGCTTTACGAGGGAGCTTCATCCCTACCCACTCTCGCCCCCCACCCCCACCCCCGACCTTTTCTGACTGGGTCTGTTTTTTAAATTTTGAGACAGGGTCTCGCTAAATTGCCCAGGCTGGCCTCGAACCTAGGATCCTCCTGCCTCAGTCTCTGGCTTCGCAGGGATTCTAGTCGTGAGCCACCCCAACCGGTTCCTAAGGAGTGTTCTAATCAGAGCGAGTCCAGAGAATAGACAGGCCTGTGGTGGTGGTGGCGGGTGGGGGCGCGTGTCTCAGGACTCCCCCTGTGCACCTCCTGTGCTATCTGGCTCAGTATTCTAAGACGCTGGGAGAATGGAGGATGGGCAAGGAAGGTAGCAGGGCCAGCAGAAGCAAAGGCAGGGAGGCTGGGAAGCCCTGGCCAGGCCTGTGGTGGGCTGTGGAGGGTGCACGACAAGGGGGTGGGAACACGGAGCGGGTGAGTCACCGTTTCTGGGCCAGGCAGGCGGCGGCTGCGGAGCGGGGGGCGCATTCCTGGCTGGCAGGGCGGCCGGCACTAATGTCTTTCCCACATGGCCCCGAATTCCCTGCTCGGCACGATCACACCGGCAAGACGCTCCCGCGGCCACCCCCGCCCCAGCTGCCTCCTTCCCACAGAGCAGGGAAGGCGGTGGGGTGGGGAAGAGTCGGGGAGGCGGGCGAACGGGGCCCTCGGGGGCAAGCCGAGGGTCCTCGCACCCCGCCTAGGGCCGCGCCCACAGGGCCCGGCACATGGTGCGCTCTGCACCCAGCAGTAAATAAGAGCAGGGTCCGCCTGGGAAGCGGGAGAAGGAAGAAGGCCCGGGACGACCATGGATCCCCGGCCACATCTCTGCTTCTTTGATCCCTCTTCATCTGCCCCCGCCCAGGGCTTCGCGCAGGGTCAGCAGGAGCAGCCAGGGCCGATGGGCGGCGGGATCACCGGCCACCGAGGCCTCCTTGGATCCAAGACAGTTTGCCTCCTCCCCTCCTTTGAGATGCCTGGGCCCTGGGTGGGGCGGGGGACTATCTGAAGCTGTGGTGCATCCGGTGGGGGCCTGGGGAGGGTGGTTCCTGGAAGAGGCCACACCCTGTCCCTCATTCCATGGGGTGGAGGACAGCCCTTGCTAAGGCCTAGGGGACTGAGTGCTCCTCTCCCACGCAACCCCTGTCCCTGGGCCAGGCCCCTAGGGGGAAACTGAGGCTTCGAGGCCGGCCCACCCAGAGCTCCCTGTCTGCTGGGGGAAGTTGGCAGTTGTCCCTCCAGCTGGGCTCAGAGGCGCTAATGAGAGTTAAATGTAGGGCGTGAGTCACTTCAGAGAGCGGGCTGGGACCACCCCCAGATGTGGAGGGTGGAAGGGAGGTTTGTCCAGACTGTTCAGCTTTTCCCCACTCCCCTGCACCTCACCCCCTCCCCTTGGCCATCTTGTCACCCTGGGCCAACCTCCCCTAAATGTCTGGCTGCCTCAGGGCTGGGGACTGAGGGACCACAAGGGGACTCCAAATTCCCAGAATGGGGCCCAGAGTACCCTGAGGACTTGGAGACTAACACCTGAGATCTCTAGGGCTGTGAGCTCTGGGGTATGCCATGTGTCTTAGGGTGTGGGGGCTGGGCAAAGGCTCAGGCCACCCCGAAGATCTCTCTACCGCCTACTGCCTGTCTGGCCTTGCTTAGGCCACCAGGCTCTGACCACACAGGGTGCCTGTCCCACTTCCCCAACTCTCATCCTCTCTGACATCCAGCCAGTACAGGACTTCAGTATGCAGTCCTCATGATAGTGGAGGCAGTGTGTGTGTGTGTGTGTGTGTGTGTGTGTGTGCATGTGTGTGTGCATGTGCTTGCAAGTGCACACTCTGCACACACATGCTCCTATGATTGGGTCTGTTTGTCTCACTTTGTGTATTTATGACTGATTGTGCACTTGTGTGTGTTACGTGTGACCTGCTGTCTCTGAGTGGGTCTTAGTGTTACAGGCGGCTTGAGAGGGCATGTGTTTCTTCATGTTTATATCTGTTGTTCCTATGTCTCTGTGTGGGTCTTTCTGTGTGACTGTGAGTGCCTGTGTTGGCCTTGCCCTGTCCACGGGGTCCTTGGCTCCTCCTTGAGTACCCACTGTCACCTGGAGCCTCCCATTTAGGGAAGTGAGTCTGGGAGGGGGAGTAGAGGGAAGAAGAGCTTCTTTCCCCAAATGGAATAAATGGAATGGCCTGGCTGGGTGGGCAACACCAGGGGGTGGGCGTGGGCAGCCACAGGAGAGAAAAAGTGGGGGGGCCAGGAAGGAGGCCCTGCTCTGCAGTCCCCTCCCTGCTCCCTCTGCTCCCAGCCCAGCGCCTCCTGGCAAGAGCTTATTTGCATGGTATTTACATTTCATTTGCATCGCGTTCAATTAAAAACCTGACCAGCTCCCGCCTGCCTGGCGCTGCCTGCCCAGCCTGGTGAAAATGTTGGTTGGGCACTGCCGCCTTCCTACCCCCTACCCCCCCATGGACTGACCCACGTGGGAGGGGTCCTCCCCGCAGTGAAGTCATCCAAGTCACCCATTCTAGGAGTGAGAGGGCTGGAAGTTCAAATGGAGAAACTGAGGTCCAGAAAGGATTGTCTTGAGCCCCATACAAAGGGCCAATCTTAGAGCTAGAAGAATATTAGTAGTAAAACAGCTGTCCCTTTATGGAAGAGTCACTGTGCCAAGAGTGTGGCCAGCACCTGGTTTGCAATATCTCATGGGAACATTACTACCCTTCAAGGTCAGGACTTCCCTGCATTTTTTCCCAGTTTACAGATGAGAAAACCAAGGCTGGAGAGGGCAAGCCTTAAGTTTAGCCACCTGACCTAGAACTCAAATCTCTGTCAATATGACTACCAAGTTCATGCTCCAAACCCCAGAGGAAAGGCCATTGCCTCTCCCCTCCTGGTGAAGTGAGCTCATTACCTCCAAGGTTACTAGTTGCAGGATGTACTGCAGCAACTCTCACCCTAACTTGGGGGCTGGGCCCAATAGTAACTGTCCTCTTGCTTCATAAGACTGACAGCTATACCTTTTCCTGTCTAGAGGGTGGAATGTTCTCCTTGTGAAAGTCCTTCCTGGCACCGGGCCATAGTCTTTCCTGTTGCAAGACTGCCCTTCTTGGGCTCCAATCAAAGCTTGCAACTTTGTAAAAGGTAAGTAAAGATGCTGATAATAATATAAACTCTAAGGGAAATAGCCAAGCTAAGGGTGAAGAGTGGGTGGAGAGGAGATCAGACAGGTCCAAGGAGACAACCAAGGCATCGGAGCCAACTGGGCAGAAGAAACCCTCAAGACACCGCCTGTCCTGGATTGGGAGCCTTACTGGAGCTCCCCCTTCAGCTAGCAAGAACTGGGCTGCAGGATATCATCAGCACAGGTGGGAAATATGAAGAAAGTGCAGAAGGAGTGGAGGTCCTTAGGTTGCCCATGGAAAGATCACTCAGGGCCCAGAATCCAGTCCTGGGACTAGAGCACCCAGTCCCCATTGCCTTTTGGAAGAACTACTTTTCCCTTTCTCCCCAGCCTTAGGGATGTAGGGGGTCTCCTCCTACTACCTCTAGTTTGGATGGGATGGGGGAGAACCTGGCCAATCAGCAGACCCAGCCTCCCTGACCACTCTGATTCGTTCAGAGAATTTCAGGCATGTGATTTAGGCCTGACCAAACAGGCTGAATCCTAAGAGTTTGGTTATTGAGAAGAAGCAGGTGATGTCTGATCTTGTAGTATGGGAATTTGGGGCCCCTATCTTCTGAGGAGAGCTTCCCATGAAATCAACAAAGGGAAACTGATCTCCTTGTACTTGAAGCCAAGCACTCTTTTTTTTTTTTTTTTTTTTTTTTTTGGTATCAGGGATTGAAATCAAGGGCACTTGACCACTGAGCCAATCCCCAACCCCATTTTGTATTTGATTTAGAGACAGGGTCTCAGTGAGTTACCTAGCGCCTTGCTTTTGCTGAGGCTGGCTTTGAACTTACAATCCTCCTGTCTCAGCCTCCTGATCCACTGGAAGCCAAACACTCTTGTATTCTTGAGCCTCAGAATAAGTCAGTAGGTTCTACTTTTGCTTAAGCCTTTGTGGTTTCTGTCCCAGGCCTTGCCCACTTCTGTCTGCAAGCTTGTGGCCATGCACTGCTCCTCTGCCTTCCTATTGTCCTCTACTCACCAGCAGTGCCTGTTTAGAGGCCCAGCTCATTTCACCCCCTCCAGAAGGCTTTCTCCTTCTCTCCTCCATTCTCCAGAGAGTTACCTGGAACTTCTGACCCCCACCTTGGGGCTTAGTGTCTATGCCTGCAACTGATGTGTGAATTTTCCGGGCTTGCTTCTCACAGCCCTAGGGTGGACTGTAAATTCCTAAATAGTATGAGCTGAGTCCCCTCCTGTAAAGAAGAATGATGCATGTATATAATCCCAGCAATTTGGGAGACTAAGGCAGGAGGATAGCAAGTTCAAGGCCAGCCTCAGTAATTGAGCTGAGGCCTTAAGCAATTTAGCAATACCCTGTCTCAAAATAAAAAATAAAAAATGGGCTGCAGATGTGGCTCTGGAGAAAAGCACCTCTGGGTTCAATCCCTAGTATTAAA